GCAAATGCACAACGTTTTGTCATCATCAGGTTATGAAACGTTGTACATTTGCTGTTATGTTAAACTTATATTAAAGTTTTTCTTCATTACCCATTCAAGCCATCACCAACCATTATTAGGCTTTGACATAATTTTTTCATTACTAGTGACGTGTCAAACAGCCCTTCATTATCAAAGACTACACTTACAACTACTAAATTGTCTCTTACTAGGAAAATGTCAGAATTCTTTAAACTGGAAGAGAAAGCAAATGCAGACATCACACTACGTTTTTCAACTGGAAGTTCTTGTAGTTTCCTTAATTAATGTAGTCTGTTGTTGTGTATGGACTTTTCTGGACTGCCCCCCCCCCAAGAGTTATTTTGGTAGTGTTATACACTGCCGTAATCATCTTGTTTGAGCTGGTTGTCAAATTTCTGTTTAGGTTTTTGTAAGTAGTCCAGTTCTTATTTGATATTTAGGATTCGGGAATTATTTGTGCATGGTTTCGGTAATAACAGCAGTGCTGTGTTTGGGAACCTGCAAACCCTGAAGTTGCCATGGGGGGCAGACTCTAAGGGGACAACATTCGATATATATATACAAGAAAATATAGTCATAGCAGAAACTTCTTTGACAACATGGATCTTTATGTTCTGTTTTTTTAATTTATTTCCAAAATCATTGTAGCTGCTGTCCCTCTCTTTTCCTCACAATGGTTTTTTTTAATTGTGTAATAACCTGCTGCTGTAAAAAAGAACACCACTAGAATGTGATTCTGTATTTATACACCTTGTATGATCAGGGTCAACCTGTTGCTACCTGCCGGTGATACAGGCAGCAAGTTATCAAAAAGACTAATGCAGTTTTGCTGACATCTCCTGAGACAGTGTGGTCGGCGTCCACCTCCGGATGATATAACAGACAGAGAAGTATCAACGTTATAAGCGCCGACACGACAATGTTGTGTTATGGGTCAGGTAATAGGCCTGTTATCAGCAAGTTACTTCAGTTTTAGCTTTTGGGAGAGACATACTGACAAGCTGTCGATTTACTTCGTTGGAAGACATCAGATCATAAGGTACGAAACACTCAAGCTAGTTCTATGCAAAACACTATGCTTTTCAAAATGATGTTTTATTCATTACGATCATTTTCAGAGGCGTATTCAAAACTTCAAACTATTCGGTGCATTCTTCTTAGGGTTAACATTTGTGGTTTCTTGTTATAATTTGTAGTCATTCTGGAACGAAAAAAGCGTAACTTATATCTATTTCCTAATTCTTTATGGTGGTTACAAGGTCGGTCAAATAGACTAAACCGATACAGAGGTACAATAGAGAAAATAACTGATAAATTATAATATTTTTTCTAAACAAAATTTTTGATAATTATCTGGAGTTTATAAATGTTTCAAATGTGAAATTTGAAAATTTTTTGATGCATACAAGTATTTTTAATCTTAAAATCAAAATTACATGTTTGACAGTCAACATTCGAAATGAAAAAATTCATGAGTAAATCATTACTTAGAAAATTTTAAAACTTGATACAAAAACTGATATTTTGTATATAAAAGTTTTGTAGTGTTTACTGATGATTCAAAAACGTTGTGAAGATGCACTTACTGTATTAAAAGTTATAGTATTCTCTTGACTGTAATTGCATAACTCTGAAGTAAGTTTTGCAGGAGGGACACAGAGCTACTAAACGTGGCACTAAATACCTGTTTCACCAAAATATTTATGACCAAGATTGAAACACAAGCCATACATTCTGCTCTTCATCTTCCCCAGACTGGTACAGATATGACGATCACACTTCTGCTGGTTTCACTTCTATTAAACACACACAAACATTATTTGAATGCACAAACTTCATTCAATAAAGTAACCACCAAACACAAAAACACTTTTAGATCTGACACACAATTCAATACCAAAACACACTGACCTCTACATCCCCTGGAATTTCACCCATGAATCCAAACCAAAAACTGAGACATTAAAAATATCTTATAGACATAGCTTCAAGATTCTGGACAAGACAGATGAAGAAATTTCTACCAGTTATTATGGTCAAATGATCTCACACAACCACCATAAACTTTATAAAACATTCCTTCATTCACACCAACAAATTTCTACCAGTTATTATGGTCAAATGATCTCACACAACCACCATAAACTTTATAAAACATTCCTTCATTCACACCAACAAATTTCTACCGGTTATTTTGGACAAATGGTCTAACACAACCACCATAAACTTTATAAAACATTTCTTCATTCGTATCAACAAATTTCTACCAGTTATTATGGACAAACGATCTCACACAACCACCATAAGCTTTATAAAACATTTCTTCATTCACACCAACAAATTTCTACCAGTTATTATGGACAAACGATCTCACACAACTACCAGAACAAAACTCAACTCATGAACAAAATTGACACTAATGAACCAAACAACAAAACTTTATTATGCTCAAGTTCCCTGAAATCAGTTCAAAAATAATTCAAACCTGGACAAAACTTGCCATTAAAAATGAAATTCCTGTTGACTTAAATTCACTCAAAAAACCAGGCCCTAAACTAAAGTTGTTACTAAGTAAAAATTATATGTGATCCCACAATACCAACGTCATTACAAAAATAATATCAAATAACTGCTGAAAATTGTACATCAGAGAAACTGGAAACTAGATTCATCAAACATAATAAAAAGCCCTACCATATTTACCACTACTGCAACTCAAAAAGCCATAGTATACCTATTAAAAACAGATATTTCAAACAATGACAAACACAAAATAAAGTAAGCCATCTTAATTGAACAAAACAACCCTACTCTAAACCAACACCCCAGGGTACCAAGATACTTTTACTAAGCTGTTAAGCAATCTACGGTCATTGTTCCATACTGTGTATATATATATATTGTATTCATGGATTTAGGTAACCTACTTGTACCTCATGATGACAAAATCTTGTTGAAATACTGTGCATCTGTTACTATGTTAAACTTGTAACAAAGGTTTCTTCATCACTGATTCAAGCATTCTTCAAAGTTTATTAGTGTATTTATGATGTAAGACAAAACAAATCAAGTATAAAAAATAACAGTCTGCTTTGAAAGAAAATAAAAATACAGGTACCCTATTTAAGTTTCTTTACCGGAAGAGCAACGAGCAGACAGAACCTACATTATAATTTTTAGGAACAGCACAGTTATAGTTTACTTGTGGAATTTCAGATAAAGTCGTAAACTTACTTTCCAATTTTTAATTTCCCTTTGACACTAGAGACACTGCCTGAATCTATTGTGTCCCGGCCTGTTGTGGAACTACGATCGTCAGAATGAGAGAAGGATACCGACGAAAGAGGTGATGTACTTTTTGCAGAAGGAGAAGAAAATCCCTCATATTTAATATAAATATCTTGACCAACTAAAATGTCCACCAAGGTCAGTAGAGGTTCTTGTCTTAGAGACAATGGCCAACCATGGTGCTCCAAAAATATGTATTGAAATCGGACAGATTTGTGAATTTCTTTTAGCTGCAATAAAAATAATTAAAGCTAAAACAATGAGCTTTCACTACTTATTTTCACTTTACATAACTCTACATAATTTTAAGTGTATGAAATTTTCAGAGTTGAAATTTAATTTTTTTTTAACTATTCTACTTTATTCAATCCTCTAAATCAGGAGTTCTCAAACTTTTTTTTAAACTGGGTTCTCCTCTAAATCACGATTTCTCAAACTTTTTTAACTGGGCCCCCCTCTAAATCATGATTTTCTCAAACTTTTTTTAACTGGCTCCTCCTCTAAATCAGGATTTCTCAAACTTTGCAACTGGCTCCTCCTCTAAATCACGATTTCTCAAACTTTTTAACTGGGCCCCCCTCTAAATCATGATTTTCTCAAACTTTTTTAACTGGGCCCCCCTCTAAATCATGATTTTCTCAAACTTTTTAACTGGCTCCTCCTCTAACTCACGATTTCTCAAACTTTGCAACTGGGCTCCCCTCTAAATCATGATTTTCTCAAAACTTTTTAACTGGCTCCTCCTCTAAATCAGGATTTCTCAAACTTTGCAACTGGGTCCTCCTTTAAAAATATTTCTAGATTTGACACCCCTCCTCCCCAAACACACACACAAAGTGATAGCCAAATTACTGTACATACTCTAAAATATCTGTTGTTGCAAAATTTTTTCTTTTTATGATCTTGTGACCTTTTAGGTCAGAACTCAACTGAATTAGTGAATCTATGCTAGAAATTATGTATGTCTTTTCTGACTTCCACCGTGTCTATACTAGTGATAACACTTACTTCTACTTATGTTCATCAGATCTGACATTCTCTGAGGTCACTATGAGAAGTTTTTGGCTGGCTGGTGGGCATAATCTTGTGACCTTTTAGGTCAGAACTCAACTGAATTAGTGAATCTATGCTAGAAATTATGTATGTCTTTTCTGACTTCCACCGTGTCTATACTAGTGATAACACTTACTTCTACTTATGTTCATCAGATCTGACATTCTCTGAGGTCACTATGAGAAGTTTTTGGCTGGCTGGTGGGCATAATCTTGTGATAAGATGAAGAGAAGAAGAACCAGAATGTCAGAAAAATAAACAAAGTTTGACTTATAGAATTACAAAGGCAGACGTTCAAAAATGGAGGATTACCAACCTACAGGGAGTTATGAACATGTTGAAAAGATGCAACAAATCTCTGAAATTTGTTGTTATTTTAGTTTGATGTAAGTATTAATTCAAAAAGATTTGCTTCACCTTCTCAACCTCTTCGTTGCCTGAATAAACTACTTTAAGTTTGTCTCAGATTTTCATGCAAACCTACATAAGGGCAATCTGCATGTAACAATCCTGTCCATAATTTTAAACTGACAAGACTGGATGGAAGAAAACTTGTCAATAACACCCATTAACTGGGCTATTTCGGTCTGATTGATTAGTGGAGTTTGACCATAATTTTCATCCACGGTATAGAGTGCGTTTTTTTTTTGGCAATGAGGCACAAACCTCAAGTCAAAGCATGTCAATCACCAGGCCCTTTTTTTAGTATTCTACATGTTTGAATTGTTACTTTATGGAATAATTCCTGGTTTGAAAGATTATAATAATATCTTCCCTAGGGCTTTGCTTGTCCAAGTACCAGAACACTGCATTTAAAGTCATTGGAATAACAAGTCTAATGAAGACAAGAACAGCAAGTCAAACTGCCGTTGCAGCCTCGTACACAGTGAAGTCTGAGAACCACCATAAACAAGCTCAGCCTCGTACACAGTGAAGTCTGAGAACCACCATTAACAAGCTCTTTATTACTTCATTACCTAAGTAAACTACATACTTCCAAAGCTAAGAAATACATTTACATAAACTGAATTTAAATAATTACTGAGAAAAACAATAAGAACTGGCAAATGCTAAGTGTTTACTCATTCTTTTTTTTTATTTTACCAGATTCCAGTTTTGTATCATGGAAAAACAAATGAAATTAACTATAAAAATATAAGTTACTTAATGGCTTACAAGTTCATCCAAAACTTCTCGAACTTTCCTAACAGTCCAGTTTAAATCAGCGAAGATTAAACCCAAGCACTCATCACCCGATATCATCACTCCAACAGGAAGTCGATCTGTTAAAGTTAAGCAAGAAATAAGTTAGAACATTACAAATTTGGCAAACACACAATAATGACTTGTAATATAAGAGACAAGGGTAACTTGTGCTTGCTCTCTAAGAAGGTTAACAAAGCCTAAGAGTAACAACAGAATTTTACTTTAGTTAATATTTTGATCCGTTAAGAAGTTTGTTGGGAAATCAGATCCAACTTTGCTAAAACAGGGGGTTCCAACCACATGAAGATCTTAAAATTAGCCTTTATCTAATTACTTCTTTCACAACTGTAACTCTGTAAAACTTGCAACAACGTAAGCTAAAGTTGTAACAATAATAAGTTTTTTCAAAGTGTTATTCTTTAAAGCAATGAACATTTATCTGGTTTTAATTAATTAACACTTCTGCTACTTTATGGTGTATTGTATGATATCTGTCTGTTTATGTATATATGTTAATTAATCCTTCTGCTACATTAGGGTGTATTGCATGATATCTGTCTGTTTATGTATGTCATGTTAATTAACACTTCTGCTACGTTAGGGTGTATTGCATGATATCTGTCTGTTTATGTATATATGTTAATTAATCCTTCTGCTACATTAGGGTGTATTGCATGATATCTGTCTGTTTATGTATATATGTTAATTAACACTTCTGCTACATTAGGGTGTATTGCATGATATCTGTCTGTTTATGTATATATGTTAATTAGCACTTCTGCTACTTTATGGTGTATTGCATCATATCTGTCTGTTTATGTATGTCATGTTAATTAATCCTTCTGCTACATTAGGGTGTATTGCATGATATCCGTCTGTTTATGTATGTCATGTTAATTAATCCTTCTGCTACATTAGGGTGTATTGCATGATATCTGTCTGTTTATGTATATATGTTAATTAACACTTCTGCTACGTTAGGGTGTATTGCATGATATCTGTCTGTTTATGTATAAATGTTAATTAGCACTTCTGCTACATTATGGTGTATTGCATCATATCTGTCTGTTTATGTATGTCATGTTAATTAATCCTTCTGCTACATTAGGGTGTATTGCATGATATCTGTCTGTTTATGTATATTATGTTAATTAACACTTCTGCTACATTAGGGTGTACTGCATGATATCTGTCTGTTTATGTATATATGTTAATTAATCCTTCTACTACGTTAGGGTGTATTGCATGATATCTGTCTGTTTATGTATATATGTTAATTAAGCCTTCTACTACGTTAGGGTGTATTGCATGATATCTGTCTGTTTATGTATATATGTTAATTAATCCTTCTACTACGTTAGGGTGTATTGCATGATATCTGTCTGTTTATGTATATTATGTTAATTAACACTTCTGCTACATTAGGGTGTACTGCATGATATCTGTCTGTTTATTAATCCTTCTGCTACATAAGGGTGTACTGCATGATATCTGTCTGTTTACGTATATATGTTAATTAATCCTTCTGCTACGTTAGGGTGTATTGCATGATATCTGTCTGTTTATGTCATAGAATATATAGGATACAGAAATATGGATGTTTTTATTACAGGTTAGAGTATCACTTCTTCAACTTTCATGGAAGTTTTGGGAATACTTCTCACATTCACTGCTTCACTTCTGCAGCATTATACTGATGTTTTGATCAACTGTGTTTTCAATTGTTAAAGTGTGTGCTGCGTTTACATATAATCAATATGAATAAATTAAGAAACAGCCAAAAAAGTTGGTCTAGAAATGTCACTCAAACCATCAATGAACTATCTTAAACATCCTGTTTTAGTAACTTTGAAACTGAGTAGCAAAAAAACTGTAACATTGTACCGAAATTACAAAACAAATTTTCATACAGAATGAACACCAAAACTCCAGAGAAAGGGTTAATTTCTTTATACAAAATTTTAAGTACATAATGAACCTCCTACTAATAAATCAACTAATGATAGGATGAAGAGCTTGTTTATCTCAGATTCTGTTTCAATGTGCATCATGTGAGATCGGATAAACAGAGAGAGAGAGAGAGATACAGGTTGAGGAACAAAGATATACAGATGTGCTTGTAATTAGTTCCTATGCATTAACCAATACACCAGTTGCATTTAAAAACAAACAGTACAGATAAACGGACTGGAATAATCGTCTGATATGTGGGAGAAAAAGGGTGATTGGTAGGAGATGTTACGAGACAAAAAAAAACAAGTAATGTATAATCTGTGCACACAAAAAAAGAGCATCCAAAGTGTTTTGCCTCCATGTATTACGTACACTTGAATCTAAGTTTCCTGGAGAAACTAATTCAGCAAGTACATGCATGATCTTGACAGGCAGATGTACAATTACAAGTTATCTCAAAGGAAATTGATAATTTTATAGGGGGGGAAACACATTTCAAGTGTAGAGTTAACATAGCTACACTACCACTACAGTCAATAAGAATCACTTAAAACGTTAGTCTAAGATAACAGCTGTTCAGTCATTGCCTTTATAAAAAATTTACAACAATTGTATTCAGAGATGTGCCGTTATGGTTCATCAGCAAACGCTCTCACCATCCCATCCTCAATTTGTTACGACGTCTGGTTGTTACTGTTTTGTTTGTTTGTTTGTTTTAAACTTTTATTAGAAGAAGAAAAAAAATATATTATTTCATTGTTTCTACTGTTTTTGCATTGGTTTAGTTTATGCGTGATAACAACTTAAATATTCAACAGTTCTTTTAATATGAGCACACGTACAAATGGCTCGTCTCTGCATTCATATACTTTCAAGTGCTACTTGGAGGAACTGCAAAGACTCAAAACAAATATGCCTAGTCTCTTCCGTAGCTTCATTCATACGAGACATAACAGACAGGGATATGAGCTCTGAGAAAGGAAAAGGACACAGGGTCTTAACATGGACAAGAAATTTTAAAAGACTGAATGACAAAGATTTGGAATAATCTATTAGAAAAAATAGTTCAATTAAATATCAACAAAATTGCAAATTATGTTGATGAAATAGATATATCCTTTTTTTTTATCTCAACAACAACTGAGATAGCTGAGACGACATGCTACGAGGGAGAACTAATTTTACATTATTACTGACTGAAACAGCCAAGTATACATGCTACTAGGATGTGTTGGTTTTACATTATTATTGACTGGAACAGCCAAGTATACATGCTACTAGGATGTGTTGGTTTTACATTATTACTGAGTGATACAGCCAAGTTTACATGCTACTAGAATGTGTTGGTTTTACACTATTACTGAGTGATACAGCCAAGTTTACATGCTACTAGGATGTGTTGGTTTTACATTATTATTGACTGG